TGATGATTCTGATCGAAGTGCTCGTCAAGCATGCATCGTTTCTTCTAGCTGTTAATTATTTTGGGAAATCGTCATGTCAAATTGAACGGTAATGCACCTGCCAAAGTGTTTGAGAGCTTGTCATCAGTGCTCGCCATCACACTAGACGAAGGCGTGCTGTAGATGGTTATGACGCAATTCAGAGCGGCCGGATATCATTCGTTCTGTCCCCAGTTACGCAACTGAAGCGTGTGCAAGCGACATTAACAAAACTCTATTTCTCTTTTTTGTACGAGTTACTGTTTATACTTTTTATTTTGTCGCCAGAGAAGTCGCACCCGTGTCATATTTTATGAAAGAATAAATAAATGGATTTGAATTAAATCTAACCATTGAAATAACACTTTCGCAACTTCCTCTAGCTCTGTGGCAGAAATTCATACTGTGATATTCAGCTAGTCGTTGTAGTTCCTTATGTTTTTTAGCTGCATATTATACATGCTGTTTCAATTTAGACGACGAAAGCTGCGGAAGGAGTCCGTAAGAAAAAAACCCGAATCCCCAAAGATCCAGCGGCACCGAAGAAACCGCAGTCGGCCTATTTCCTCTGGTTTAACGAAATTCGTTCGAATATTAAGGAGCCTGGAATGACGGTGGGCGAGGTGGCGAAGAAAGCCGGTGAGATGTGGAAAGAAATGAAAGACAAATCCGTTAATTAATGTTTTTCTTTGGATGGTCCATTGGTTTTATTCTGTTTGTTTTAGAAATGGGAAAAGTTAGCAGAAGAAGACAGAAAAAGATATAAGCATGCAATGGATACCTACAAGCAGTCGAAAATAACTGATGCTCCGCCTAAGTCTCCGTGAGCATCGTTTACGTTTCAGATTCTTTCTTTGGAGTTTATGCTAAACTGCTAAATTGTTCATGCGCCTTCCGTTTGCCTGTTACACTGAACTCTTCCACTTGTTACACTGCTTCTTATCGCGATGGGCAAGAGAACGAGAAATCACTGGAATTTTCAACCAGCTTTACCTTCTGAACCTGCTTTACACTTTCTGGCAACTGGGAACGAACGTAGCAGCACGACCACGACTGCCGAAGAAGAACACGAAGAGGACAAAATACCAGTCATTAACACAGTCGCTAACCCTGAATCGAAGAGGCAGACGGCACGAAGCCATGGCACGCCAGATAAGATTTCACGGGAAGGGACGAAAGCTGTCGTAAAAATAACCTACTTGGTCGCATCTTGAACCTGCGTGAAACGGCATGGAACGATGCAGTTCCATTGTTCAAGCATTCTTAACCTTAGATGACAACTAATAGTAAGAGATGAGCTTAGGTGATTTTAATTTTTGGAACATTTGATTCAGTGAAAGACTAAAGGGGCTTCTATATGAACGTCTAATTTTTAAACATTGTCTCTGTTACTGTTCTTCTTTTAGGGACGACACTGTTACCCCAAAACTGAAACGGGCTTCTTTGGACGATGCGAAAGCAACCAAAAGTTCATCAGCTTCGGAAGAAGAGAGTCCTGTAAGGAAGTTATCTCATATGCAAAGTTCTGTTCATGGTTTTCTGTTTTCTTTATAGATGGATGAGATACATTCCTCTGAGTCTGAGTAGCAGTTGATCACAAAACCTGATTTTTGCTTCCGTTTCATTTTTTGATAAATTGTATATTGAGTGTATTGAACTGTATTAAAAACTGTAATGTTGACCGTTGTTTGAATAGCATGTCGTTGCATTTGTATACTTTTCTAATGCCTGTGTATCTGCTTATTTCAATACTATTTGATGGTCGGTGGTTGCAGATTGCAGTTCTCTACTTTGTATCGAAATAACGTTCCATGTTGCGCCACCAGAACCTGTCAGTTGCTGCTGCATGGAGTTAGACGGGCCGCATTAATGTGTGACCGTGTGAAATATATACAGGTAAAAGCAACGATAATGGCTTTCTTAGACGACTTTTAAGATAGTAATTTCCGGGAGAAATTTGTCAGTAAATTAAGTTTCCACTAGTTAGACTGTAAACAACCACGTTGGTTCAGTTTAGAAATTTTCATGCTTCGACCCGTCGTTGCGTTCTATCTTCACCTTCCATCGCCGCTTCTCCTTTG